TTGCATTGTCTCATTTCAAGTGCATGTTATTTAATAATCTTATTTTAAGAATAAAAATACGAATTTCATTGGCAAAATATCTCATTTACAGACTCAAGTTAAGGGTAAGTACACTTAATTTAAGACATTTTTAACTCATTTCCAGATCGTTTTTTCAGTGTAAAAAGAGATATCTTATCTCAGTGAGAGCTTTTCTGGTTAAACAAAATGGGAAATAAATACAATAAAAGGGCTAAACAAGATTTACATTCTCTAATATAATGTTCCATATTTGTGTTGTTAGATGAACGATAATAGTGCAACAAATTTTATTGGATCTTCTTATAAAAACTCTGCACCCTCCAACCCCTTATAGCTCTCTGGGGAAGACACTGGATTCAATAAATACATGTGTGTCTAAATCCATAGAGGAGAACATGTTTTAACCTTTTACAGCATATATAGATGCAGAATTTACCAAGCTAAAAAAATCAGCTTAAAATTGAGCTTCAACTGCTGAATAATGGGAAAAGTACCAGAAGGAATCCACTCTCAGTTCTGTGCAAAGGAGACTTATTTATCGACAGCAGATTGCAGGTTGTGTGTTGGGTTATATAGCTTTGGGTGATATAGTAGATTAGAACGACAAAGACATAGATGTACAGATGGAGCCTAGTGCTTTGGTTGTTTCCTTAAACAGCTCACAGAGACCGAAGCAACACATGATTCAAACTGTCATCTTGGAACAGAAAACCAAGGAGCCTCAACACCAGAAACTGTCCTTATGTTAAAGGTATTTTTAGTAAAAGTGAGTCACAGTATAATGCAAACAGGGTACAAAATGAAAAAAAGCACATCAGCGTGGGATAATGCAGCTTTACATGTGCTTTTAAAACCCCAGGCTTGAAAAACTGGCTGGATTCACATTTAAGTTAGCTGTGCTCTGGTTTCTAAAGTCTGATTTATGTCAGATTGGCTATTAACAGAAAAAATAAACATTTTACTGAAACATGGCCTCTGAAAAACATTGGTAAAGCATCATAATCACAGCCCCATAATCACAGCTCTATGGAGCAGTATCAGACTAATATTCTGACTAGAATTGAGTAGGACTACGTCAGGCTATGATAAACCAGCTGCAATACATTTCATTGACAAGTTGAAAACACCAGTGACAACCTGCCTCATCTGATGGGTCGTTTCTCTGGGTCGAAATGTTAAATGCTTAGCATGGTATTATGTTTTATTTTGCCAGAGAAATGTAAGGTAGTAGTGTTACTGAGGCTATTAGGCTCAATTTTAACTGAACTTGTGAAAGATTTTCATTGGAAACATGAAAAGCTGCACAGAGACAAACTAAGAAGTCAATCAGAGACCACAGCTGGGAGGGATTGCTTTTTGGACCAATAAGGCTTCTCGGAAATGGAAAGAGTTTGAAATCTTATCTGTTCATCTTAAGGTTGTTGTTAGAACAGGATGTTTCAGGATGGAAGGACAGAATATTGACAAAACCAGCCAAATAAATGAAGGTACACCTCACTCTGAAGAGAGATCAGTGATTAGCCTGATAAATTTGTAATTATATGATTGATTTACATTTAAATAGCTAAAAAAAAAAAAGAAAAGAAAAGAAAAAGCTGATGTGGATAATTATTTTTCTACGGTCGGTACTAAAAAGGTTTGTTTAACTTAGCATGGTTGGGAGGGTTATTTTTGTTGGTATACTGTAACCTTTTTGTCCATTCATGTGTTTGGATTAGGTGTGTCGTTCCAACTTGTTTTACAGGAATGACCTACAGTGTCAGCTGAAATAAGGTTTGCCAACATAACATAATAATTTAATGGTGATATAGAGCTAAAAGTTTTAAAATAAGCGGGCATAATTAATTTGTTTTAAAAAGAAGTGGTTAATGCAAAAAAAAAGTAATGTACCAAAAAAAAAATTCAATTTTAAAATGTCAATCAAACTATCTTTAAATACATATTGACTCCTTTTGTAAGGGAACAAAAGAATTAAATAGAGCTCACTTTGGCTCCTTTTTATACCCCTTTTTTTCTAGCAATGGCTCATTTGATAATTTGGCTTTTGTGTATGTGGCTTTGAGTCAGCACAATTAGCAGTGTGCTGTGGTTTGTGTACTATGGTTTCCGTATCTCTTGAACAAAAGAGAAAAGGAGAAGAAAGTGTGCTTTTATTGTTTTGTTCTTTTGTCCCTCTCATATTTTTTTCTAGCCAGTGTTAAGCCATGTTTATCGAATGAAAGCAGAGTTGTTTCGGCTTGTTACATCAAATGCGACTGCCGTGGTTTATTGTCACCCATACTTTGCGCTCAATGGTATTACTTAAATAATAGGTCAACCTGGGTCTGGTGTTCCCACAGCATGCAGATCAGTTCAATTCGGTTTATTTTTATAGCATAAATTTACAACACATCTCAAGGCACTTTACAGTTCACCAGATTATCCAGTCAAATTGATTCAGAGTTTTCTATCTAAGGAAAACCTTTTGATTGTATCAACTCATTGACTTGAAAGCAATCACTCACATTAAGCATGCTTGTAGCGACAGTAGAGAGGAAAAACTCCCTATTAACAGGAAAAACCTCTAGCAGAACCAGGCTCAGTGTGAGCGGCCATCTGCTGAGGCCAACTGGGGTTCAAGGAGACAGAAGCAGAGACACAAAAAGCAGCTGTAAAAGGCGGCCACATCCAGGAAACACACAGCCAGGCAGACGAGCTTTGAGCCAACTCCCATGTCAGAGGATGAAGAGAGCAGATCCAGCCAGTCACAGTCAGAGAAACAGGACTACACTAAGAGCAGAGCTGCTTGAAGGTGATTTTAACCTGGGTCACTTTCCGCGTTGGTTGACACGGGTGGATGTGGGTCTGTGAGCCGTTCCCACTGCCTGTAAAAGCAGATTGCTCCCATGTTTAAATGTCTTTTTGGGCCGGTGGGAAAGAGATAATAAAGTTGAAATCTCTCCATTTGGTGGAAAAGAAAAGTGGTGATAGCAAGTAGGGCTAATATTAGCCCCTGTAAAGGGTGATGCAATACAGAAGGACAACCAAATTGTGTAGAAATTGTGTTTTGTGGACTTTTCTGGTCTGAACAATCAGAATACAGGAAAAAAATAAAGGTATTATCTTAAGTCCAACTCAAACACACATGTTTTAACATGAGAAAGTCAGATTTGTAAATGTTATTCTCTTATTTGTCCCATAATGGGGAAATTAACTTTCTACATTTAACCCATCGACTTGGGGTGTAGTTCGCTGCCATTGTGTGGTGCCCGTGGAACATTGTGGGGTTAAGAGAGTGCAGAGTGCAGGCTGTGGTGATCGAACCGGGTTGCAACCTTCTCAGAGCACAAGTGAACTGCTCTAACCACTAGGCCAACACTCCCCTACTAGATTTCCAGGTGATTACTCCTTTAAATTTGGTATCGGTACCACACAGCCTTTCTAAGGAAATCTGTGCAACCACTTTAGTGATGATACTAAATCCTATAGTCAGCCTCCCTGACCAGATTTGTCCAATGTTTTTAAATTCCAGAGAAACATTGCATTTTATTTTCATTGCTGAAAAAATGCAGTGAAGTTCTGTACCCTTCTGACAGATTTGTAAATTGAGATTGTTCAGATATTTTCTAACTTTTCTGCAAACCATCATCTCACGACAGGTTAGAACTTTCCTTCGTTTTCCTACAGTGAGGAAATTCAGGTTAACTATATAGATGTACAGAAAAGGTTAAAAAGAATCCAGTGTAAGATAAAAAAAAAAGTAGAAAGCTAGGTAAAGGGTGAAAATGAGCAAATGTCAGTAAGATACTAATATAAAGCTGAACTTGGAAATGAGATTCATTGGATAAGGTCATTCTCTCCAACTAGTAGAAGGTGTGAATAGATTAAATGCAAAAACCGAATCAAAATGTGTTCCTACAGGATTTATTTCAGGTTTAACAAGTACGTGGAATTGTATACAACCAAGTTGTCATTTATTTTTTTATGTTATTTTTTAACCTCTAATGACTTGGTTTTCTGCACTTGAACTGTGCATTATAGCTGCCTTATGATTTTTGAAAGTCACTGCAAATAAAAAAGCTACATGTGTTTAAGTATTGAGTGTAGATAAAAGAATATATCAGCTGTTTTAACCGGGTTAAACTTGTTTGGAGAGAAGGAAACTTATCATATCAGGTCATATCTAAAAGAAACAATGTCCTGAATATTATTGTGGTGAATGATTAATGCAGGAAAAAAAAAAAAAAAAAAAAAAACATACTATTGCTAATCAAGTGGTATGGAATTATTTGATTTTTTTAGTTTACATTATATCTTTCTAATTTACAAGAAGGGATTTGTTTAGAACTGCAACAATTAATGCGCTAAATTGATTATTGAAATAATCATCAAATAGTTAATAGTTGTTAATAGTTAACTTGAGGTTAGAGCCTTCAAAACATGCCTTTAGCTGCAAGAGCAACCCACTCAAAGCAGTTATTATGCCAAAATAAAAAATATATATATATAAATAATAATATCGCATTCAAGATGAAAATCCTTTTACTTTTTCCAATAACATGTTCTATCCAGAATTCCTCAGAGCGCAGTTTTAGCTTCACTTTAAATTTTGTGTTAAATCCTCTTTAAAGAACCTTTTTTCTTTCCAATTAGTAATCGATTAATATAAAAATCCACTGATTAATCAATAAGCAAAATAGTTATTAGATGCAGCCCTAGATTTGATAACAAAAGTTTACAGGTGAATTTAATTTTATCTTAGCCTCCCTTCACTTAACCATTATAAAATCACTTCAACACATTAGTGCAAAACACTCATCACCATTTGCTCTGGACCTTTTACCTTGATCCCATTTGGATATTAAAAGATGAAGGTTAGGAAGCCATGCTGCAAGTTATCCTCCAGATGGGTATCTGTGTTGTATTTATGGAGGCCATCTTGAGCACTACTAACTAAATGGAACTTAAAGGATGAAGGATGAGGGTGTTTAAACACTGACCTTCAGTCCAAGTATGCTGCTGGATATACGAGTGCAGAGTCATGCCGTCCAGCTCTGCCGCATTGGGAGTTCTCCGCGGATCTTGAACACAAACTGTTCTGCACAGCCTGTCAAACTGAGCACAGGGTATAATCAACACATCCGGCGCATACGTGAAAGATCCCCGCTTTTAAGACAAAACAACCCCATTGATACAGACAGCAGCAAAAGAAGAGCGTGAAGCAACAGAATGAGAGCAATTTTACTCCCAGACTGGAGACACGGTGGTACTTTGTTGTGTGGTGAATCCATTGATCAGAAAGAACACATACTGCAGAATACAATCAGAGCTGACACCAGGATTCTCCAACCATTTGTGACTGTAAAAATGTTACTGAAATTTCTAAGATAGAAATCCCTGCTAATCTCAGTAAGAATTGAATTTTCCCTCTGAGAAACTGTTTTCATAGTGTGTTTCTGGTGTCTCACCTTCCACATTAGTTGGATGGTGTCCAGAAGAGCCAGCAGAGACAAAGTGGGGAAGCTGCTCTGGTAAGCTCGTACTTTGGAAGTGGGCCCACCCGTATGAAGCACTTTTTTTCCAGCACTGAACTGCGGGTACACTTCTAAGCACAAATCTTTTATGAGCTCCATAATGTGTGTCTGGGTGCTGTAGAGGAAGAAAAAAAAATAAAGAAGTTGAAAAAAACTATAAATCCTCACAAGAATTCCTCAGATCACATTAAAGCAAATCCTTAAACAACCAGAGTTAGGGTCCTCCTGAAAACGCCACGAACGTGGTATCAAACACAGAACTTTCAATTGTTTGTTTCAATTTTTCATCTTATGAAAGAAAACACTGAAGTTTGTGCTTTAATTGGAGTTATACTGCAGGGGAATCCCAGCAATAAAGATGTTTGCATGAAGGTGTTCTTATCAAACATGATTGGTCTGATTATGTTGGCGGAGATTAAACCTGCAGAGATTGCAAATTATTAACAAGTACCAGTGACCATGCACATCTCACTGACATGATTTAAACATCTTTTTTGCAATTTGTCACATCAAAGCCAAAAGATGTCGAAGTTTTCAGCAGTTTGCAGCAGATCAATATAATTGCAAAGTGGAAGGAAACCTATAGAAGGTTTTGAAATCTTTAACCAATTAGAGCATTAAAATGTGTAATGGATGTTTGTAAGACTTTGAATGGACCATTCTAACATGACTGTTTTGAGATAAATCAATTTACTATAGCTCTGATATTCTGTGAAAATTGATGGGCAAAAAAGTGCACCAACCTTTGAACTTTCTCTGCAAATTAAACCAATTTGCTGGTGCAATAAGATGACTACTTTTTTTTTTTTATTAAACAGATTTATGATAGAATCTGTTTTCATTACTTAGTTATTCAACCATACAGTAAGTAAACCTTTAGCAGAAACAGTTAACCCTTTAAAGCCTGATCCAAGAATAAAACAAAACAGAAAATTACTTTTTTTTGGGTTGAATTCCTTATTTGCCCTTTTAACAAAATATGTAAAAAGAAAAAACAGAAATACAATTTTGATATTAATAATTTATTACTATGCGATAAGTCAAGATTATTTTTTGTGTAGTCTTCTACTGGCTGTTATCAGATATATATGATTATGTACAATATGATTATGAGCAAAGTTTTTACCATTAAATTATGCAAAAGGTGTCAGACGCAAAACATTTCAGAAACCGTATGTCTCAAATACGATACATTTGGCATTATAGGGTTAAGAACCGATCAGATCATTACAAGGTGATGTAAAAATGTATTTTTAAGAAAAAGAAGAGCTACAGAACCAGGTGTTGAATTTTTTATATATAAACAGCTGTTTCAGATCATGATAAAGGAATCGTGATTGATTTGGTCCATTTTAGACTTGAGCATATTGAGCCTTACCAAGCAAATTTACATTTCTCTCCAGGTATTCCATCTTCCTCCCACAGTCCAAAAACATGACTTTTTGGTTAATTTGCTTCTCTAAACTCCCCTTAGGTATGAGTGAATGGTTGTTTGTCCTGTTTGCCTCCGTGTTGCCCTGCGATGGACTGGCGACCTGTCCAGGATGTACCCCGCCTCTCGCCTGTAGGTAGCTGGAGATAGGCACCTGCACCCCTCACAACCCCACTTGGGATAAGCTTGATGGAAAATGGAAGTATGGATGATGGATGAAACCCATTGCTTTGAACATGTACATTCATGTTGTCGATGAATCGTGAAAAGGGCCCCGAGTACAAACACTGTGTGGTTCCAAAACCTGAATTTTTTCTTAAATTTACAGCCATCTCCCAGAAAAAAATGTTGATGTGCTGCCTATCTTTTCCTACTTCACAGGTTAATGTATGACAAGATCCAACGGCTGCATCTATCATTTCTCCTACTTTTGCGTTTATTGTTTTCCATGACTTTCATTATTCAAAGAATATAGCATTGATTCTGTGGTAGATACCTGCAGGTAAAATTATGCTTTGCATCTTTTGTCTACAAAAGCTAAAATAACATGATAAAACTGTCTCCAGACTTAAGAAACAACACAAAACAGCTGCAGCAGAAAAAAAACCATCCAAACTACAGCGTAGATGAGGTCTATCTACAAAAGGATGTGCATCAGCTGCACCGTAAAAATATTTATACCTTTAAAGGAATAGTACACCCAAAACATGATTAGCCTTCATTTTCTACTCACCCCCATGCTGAACAACACTCTGGAGTACTTTTTTGATATCTCAAATGCATCTGGAGATCTGGGAGGCTTCTTGCTTCTTGCTATAGGATTTCCTAAAAGCGCATTCACGAGTCTACGGAAACCGCGACAGACCAATCCAGATGAAAGTGCGCATTCAGCTCGGCAAAGAACTCATGCTCTTCCTCAACACTGAAGTCCTCAGACATTTTTCTTTCGTTGTTTCTTTCTTTGCACAGGTAAACAGCACATTTCTTCTTCTACGCTTGCATTATCGGCAGAGCAGACGCTGAATGCGCACTTTCATCTGGTTTGGTCTGCCGTGGTTTCCGTAGGCTCGTGAACGCGCTTTTAGGAAATCCTATACACTACTGTTTATGCTCTAAAAACATTCTAAATTACTTTGTTTCGAGTAAATTATGGACGCTACCCACTCAGGACACTTGGAATACATTGGACGAGCAGTATGGAGGAATATTGACACGTTTTTTGTGGACTTTTATGGACCTTTCTGCCTCGGGCACCATAGACCTCCATTTTTTGAATGTCAGCAGACAGCAAGAAGCCTCCCAGATCTCCAGATGCATTTAAGATATCAAAAAAGTACTCCAGAGTGTTGTTCAGCATGGGGGTGAGTAGAAAATGAAGGCTAATCATGTTTTGGGTGTACTATTCCTTTAAGAGGTTGCAATATGTATATTGACAGATTCCCCTTGTAAGCCCTAATTGCACGGTTTTTATCCTGTTTTTATCTTTTCTATCCATCAACTCATGACTCTGTTTTGGTATCACCTGCAGTGCAGCTTTTTTACTACTTAGTTATGTACAGGGCTTATAACGTGGGAACACCATGGGGAGACAGGTCTACCTCTTTCTTAATAAACAGGGTTTCCGTTTCATGTTTTTGATCATAATACACCACCACAGTGAAATAAAAGCCATAACACCTACAGAACCAATAAACAGTATGTTAAAACCTGCAAATCATATAACATAATTTATATTTGCACAGTTAATATAATCTGTTTTTTTTTTGTTTTTTTTAATAAACACCCCCAGCTCCCGTCCATTTTGCTGCAAAGCTGTTGAATGTATGAGGTTTACTGGTGGCTATAGTACGCTGCAGTGGTTCAGGTAGTAAAGGGAAAATAGCAAAAACAACACAGTGTTGCTCATTTAGCAGCTTATTCACTGTATTTTTGCGTTTTTTCCGACCCCTCTAAAATCTTTTGTTTAAAAAAAAAAGACAATTTTGTTGATTTTACTCTGCATTTTTGGCGAGTTTAGCAAAAATAGCAATTGTTGTACCGTTACTGTCTCCCAGTCACAGGCAGCTGCCTCGTCCTGAAAGCTCTGCATGCAGACAGAGCACAGAAATGGTGAATAAAACCGGATTCTGTCCTGGATTATGAAGCAATATAGTTTTTGCTGGTGAAGGTTCTCAGTCAACCAGGTCATAATCATTCCAACAAAATAAAAAAAACAATCCACTGGACTTGGATTTCCAAGTTTGAAGACGTTTTGCTTCAAACTTGGCTTCGTTGGCTGCAATTGCAGTCTTTATTAGACTACAGTATAAAACCTCGAATTCAACGCTATTCCTGACATATTGTATCATTGATTTGAATCAGTGTCTTTTTTTCCCCTAAAATTGTTGCATAAAAATAACTTTATCAGACAGCTTGAGTTACTCAGCTCAGGACCTGTGTGTCTCTGATTAATGTTTTTTTTATAAACTTTGGTAAATGCAGTGTAGATTCAGGCAGTTAAAAAAAAAATCATACATTATATCATAAAATTTGGTTAACATATATTGCATTTCAAATAAATTTTTATGACAGTGACGTAGTTAATTATTATGGTTTTGTTTTTAGATACATGTCACCACATACATCACCACAGTTAAAACCATCCTAGAGAAAACCCTGGCAAATATGCCTAACGGGTTTTATTTTAAAATATGTTCTTATTGTGATTCGCAACCATAATTTTAACATTTCACCAATTTTTTGGTGCCTCCCTCACTAATTGTTGCCTTGGGCACAATAGATGATGCCTGTGGGTGAAATGCAGACACTGGGTAAAAAATGACGGCTAACATGTTATTTGAGGCCAGGCCTAATGTTGAGAAGAAATATTTATCAGAAGGAAACCGTAATGAGCTTATTAAACTCTTAAACCAGGGTCATCACTTCTTTATTTTTTTTTTAGAGATCTTCAATTTAATGTCAGTATTTTTTTCATTTTTGCGTTAATACCAGGAGGCTTGAAGTTAATACTAAGTGTTGCTTCATGTTGCTTTTAATAAGGTCTACTGGTTGATAGAACTGAGATACTTTAGCCCCAGTTATATTAACATTAATAAGGTCATATTTTACATTTATTAAATTGGATTATGCATTAGGGACAATTTCAAAATCTCTTTTTGAGTCAAGTTTGAAATAAATTAAGTTTCTAGGTGATATTTAGTTTTTTTATTAGTGGATCTCTAAAGGTTGGGTGTAGAATCAAACTGCAACCTTACTGAAGAGTTCTTACATAAATGAGCAATTAGATGCCTGATCTGTTGTGTGATGATATTGATGCTCCTTAATCCCCACTGTGAGTCTTCAAGGGTTTTATTATTAACAGCTCACCTGTTATCTTTTTCTAATGGTCCTGGTAAATTGAGGGCAAGCCGTTCTCTTTTAGCTCCAAGGTGCTAAAGTCCTGTCATCTTTACTTTGTCATCTCTGGCTTAATTATGCATAGAGCAGATAAAACCAGCTTTAATTACCTTCCGACCCACTGTCCTCCTAAATCCCAGCGATCAACACCGTCGGCTGCAGGGATTTCAGAGGACACGGTGCGACCTCCCACACGATCTGACAGAAACACAGCAAACATTAAGTAAACAAGTTCATTTAAGCTTCACTTTCTTCCAAGGTGCACAAACCTTTCGCCTCTAAGATAACGATTTTCAGTTTAGGGTCCCGTTTTCTGAGCAGATGAGCCGCACTCAGTCCAGAGAGCCCGGCTCCGATTATAACAACGTCCCAGATGTCAGCCGTCATGTTGGAAGTTCAGGTGAGTCTGATTATTTAGGGTAAAGGGTAAACATTGTTGTCATTGCTTTAATCTGACGTTTTCCCCAGCTAAAATGCTGATTGGTTGAAAGTTTTCTGCACCCGGAAAGCGTAAAGGTAATGGGTCAACCTCTTGATAGTCAGCCGGTATATAACCTGGATAGAAGGAGGAGTCATTTCGTGGCTGATGATCAAGAATGACCAAATAGATATATCTTTTAACTTTATAATTACACATCAAGTAAAGCATTATAAATTATACATTTTAAATCCTATTAATGATCTATTCCTCATTGCATATAAATATGCCTCATGGTTGTGTTGGAATCCTGGTTGTGTTGGAATAATAAAGAATAGGGATAACCTTTTGCAGAGAAAGGACAATGTGAAAAAAAATATATGTGTGTATACATATATATATATATATATATATATATATATATATATATATATATATATATATATATATATATATATATATATATATATATATACACACACACACACACAAAATAGACAACACTTTAAATAATTAAATGAACTTGTCAGGGATGGTTGTGGTTTTTGAGGAGCCTAATGCAGAGGTGAGGAGGCCGTGATGAGTTTTTGTAGATTTAATAAATAAACACAGGTAGCAGAGGTGGGAATAAAAAATCCGACATGAAAAATGTAAAACAAACCAGAACTATAGAGGCATCAGGGTAAAACAATCACAAGGAGCCAGGGTAACCCCGAAATCCCACATACTCTGTCAGCGCTCCGCTCCGCCCCGCTGCGCTCCAGACCGCCTGCGCAAAGCAAAGCAAAGCCTACAGCCTCCGCTGTGGCTCCCGTCCGCTCCGCTCTGAGTTCCTTGGAGATCGTAGAGAGCATGCGCGAGATGAACCAGGGTTTCCGCAGATCATTAAAAATAATTACAATTCATTAATTAATACTTTTTTTTTAAATCAAGGCCTTAATTGGCACTAAAATTAATTAAATATGTTTATCATGGCATTTATAATTAATTAATTAATTTGCGTGGAACTGATCATAAAGTCGTATGTTCGGAAAGGAAGCTCGAGGCGGAGAAAAAGCTAGAGAATATATATACATATATATACGTATATATATATATATATATGTGTGAGTGTGTGTGTGTGTGTGTGTGTGTTTACATACATACAGGAGTCATGGAACTGTGCTTACAGCTCCTTCATATTTCATGTACACTAATAACTTGTGTACATGGTACTTGTTGATGGCATTAAAATCAGTTCTAATAGCATTAAATTAGAGCGCTTAAATTAATATGGCATATTAATAAAATCCCACCATAATCCAGCATATGTTCAGTTTCTGCCGAAATATTTATTTTTTATTTTTTTGTAGATTTTTGTAACAGGGATAACTAGGATAATTCAAAACTGCTTTTTTTGAATTGAACTTTGTTTGTTCTCTACTCCCAAACTCAGCGTCTCTTCATCCATTCCTGTAATAAGAAGTTTCTTTTGACTAGATTTAATTAAACTTTAATTCCTTCGGTATAAAATAAATATTTTGATTGAGATGAGGCATCTGCTACCTCGTTGGTGAATAACCAATAGTTTACACCCAATAATTTAAATAAACGGTGTAAGTTTTTTTTTATATATATATAAGAATTATGCTATAATTTCTAGTTACTGATCTTTGCTACTATATTTTAATTTGACGAACCAGAATTTCTCAATGTTCTTTTTCCTGTTTGGTGCGATTGCAATTGCGGGTCTTGACCTGGCACGACCGGATCGGGGCAAAAAATAGCATGGCTCTGTATTTTGTTGGTGAAGGACGGAGAAGACGTACGTGGATGGAGACGTGCGGAGGAGTAGCGGTGGATGTGGAACAGCTCTCATTGATTTACATGAAAGACAAGCTCTCAGCACGACGTACGTCAGCGGAGAGCTATGGTGGACTGAACAAAGAGAGGGCTAACGAGCAGATTGGGAGCAGGTGTGAAGAGAGCAGTCAAGGAAGGAGCTAGGGAAAAGGAGACCAACTCAAGAGGGCAACAAATAAAAACCTAAGAATATATCTCATATATCCAGATAAATACAACAAAAAATGAATGAAACCAATAAAACTAGAAAACATGGAGCAAAGTAAAACATAACAGAACCAAGACCATGTCATGAATCATGTTAACATGTGTGGAGATCTTTGTATTATTGGATCTAGGCCTTGTTATTGAGGCTAGCTGTGTGTGCAAAGAAGCTTTGCACGTTTCTGGCTTTGATGGTCCATGATGAGGCAGAGGGAGTCCATGTGACTGAAAATGATGGGGAGGATGGGGCTGTGCTCATAGATTGTTTCCTTCCTTCTATGTTAAGAAAGAAAAATTAACCTTAAACCAAGGGGAGGGACTCAGACTAAGCTTTAAAAAAAAACCTAGGCCCTACCCACTGTCATCGCAACCCCAACCCATTTACAGGGGAAAAAAGACCTTTTCCCTTAACAACACCACTTTAAGAGACATAGACAGGTATGGTGCTTTGCAAGCTAACAAAAGCAGCCAAACGACCCCCATTCCAAGGGGTGGACCCGTTCAATTTTCATGTTTTCTAAACAAAAACAAGGGCTTTTTGGGCTCCTGTATATAGCCTCGAACTCAAAGTTATTCTGATATTTTTGAATTGAAAAAGCCTCCTGGATGGGAAGCAAAATTTCTTCAAACTTGGAAACAGAGTCCAGTGGGTTTTTTTTTTTTTTTTACTTTTTTGGAATAACTATGACCTGGATGACTGAGAATCATTTCAGGGCTCCCCTCTAAAAGGTCCAACTTGAAATGTATTGTATAACCTACTGAGAGACAATGTGAGGTAGTTAAAAGAAAATAAATTTAAACCATTAATTATTCACTCTATAAGTGACTAAAGCTAAGACCAGTTTTTCTGCTTCACTACATCATGTTTTTCATTTAAGAGAATATGCAAAAAGGACTGAACTGAACAAGGGAAACATAAAGTGACAAATAGTGAAACAAGGCTGAAAGCAAAACCGGGTTCTAAAAAAATTATAACCAGATATGTGAATAAAAAAAACTTAATTTCAAAGGCAAGATCTTGTGTTTTTGCTGATTATTTTCTTCTGGCGAAACCCTCACAGGAATACATCTTTTATGTTTTGTTACATAGATAAATAAAGGAATTGCTCAAAGTTTAAAACGAGTAGGAGTATGAGGTCAGAGAATAGTTAAGAACATTTTTACACGAATCTTATTTTCATACTTTATCAGCTGGTAGCAATAAACATAAGTGTTTTCCAAAAATCGCCGGAAGCTTGTAAAAGACATGAGCTGGTAACTGGAAAAAGTATCTTATATTTCTTATGCAGCTTGGTACTGAGATAAAGCTCCTTATCCTCTGTCTCTAATCCATTTTCTGTGTTTGTGTCTTCTGAAATATTCCCCAGCATATCTGATTTATAAAGGCGATTTTTTTTTCTGTAGATGCAGCACAGAGATAACCCCAGCAGTCTATTATTGTTATTTCTGCTTTTTCAGAAACCTTTGTGTCGGATATGAACTGTGGTGCTTTGAGTAAATGCCTGAAAAAAAGAGGTTTTACTATTTTTTTCTTTTTTTGTCATCTGAAACCCTTTCTTTGTTTTTCTCCTGAGTGTTTAAAAGGGTAAATAAAAGGTCAGTAACAGGTATGTGGTGTATTGTTTACCCAAGAAATAAGAGCGAGTTTGGGTACTTTTTTTGTGTTCAAGGGCACCTTTGGTTTCTTTTTTAATTCATGTTCTAGTTATGTAAAATTAAAGGGAAAAAAAGCAAAATATACATATGTATAGAGCTAATACAGCGAAACACCTACTGTACATAAATAAGGAAAGGCAAAAAGATTTAGCAAACAGTAAATTCTCAATGTATTTTTTTATCCTTTCGTTTAACAATATTTAAGAACACTGACTGACATTTAGGCTGGAGAAAATCTATGTCTTAAAGATACTTTTCTTTGTGCTGCTGCATTTAAACTTAATTTAGTTTTGTTTGCAAGGTTTAATATGTTTGTGAAAGTTTATTCATTTTCTTTAAATGTTTAGGGAACGATGTAACATCAGTGAACCAATCAGAAAGCTTTCAGTTAATGAAGCAGAAATAGAAGAGGTGTTTGTTGTAATGCAGCAGTAACACTACACTTCTTTTCAAGTCCACTGACTGCCAACTGGACCCTGTAGCTTGTTTCAGCTATTGAAGGTATGTCATTCCTTATTTTTCATTGTATTGTATGCATCATTTTTGTTGTGTGTGATTAATGAGTGGAACATTTCAAAACTGTTTTCTTTCAAACAGGATGATCATGTTCAGGGAAAGTCGCTCTCATTTAAGGACATATTTCAACCTCTGCAGTCCATTGTGGTTATTATTATGCTCTGCAGCGTTGATGAGCACAGGTAAGGCTACAGGCAAAACAAAGTATAAACTAATACTGCTTTAAAGCAGAATGTTCACTTAACTTGAACTTTCAACCTTTTTTCAAAGATTGTCTAAGCTGATTGTTCTTCTTCACTGCCATGGTCAGTGACCATGTTTTTCTTAAACCATTGCCCTTGATTCTTAGTTGAATCTAGGCAGCTTAATGAAACAATCTAGCATGTGATTATGATTTATTTTATCTTATCATATTTACTCTGCATGCTCAGATATTGTGGTGCAAGGCAGAAATCTGGTCCAGTCTTAAGGCTTTTGAGAGATTTTGAACCATAAAAATCATAACTAACAATTTCCGTTCAAAGATTTTAATTTGAAAAAGATAATTTTCTCTTTGTCAAAATTGAATTGGGGCATAACACTACTCTTTTTAAGAGAGCTGGACCAAATGACAAAGCTGTGTTTGCCAGCCAGTCCAGATACTTCTACCCTCATGGTCATATAATCTGAGTCATGACCAAAAGAACCAGACCCAGGATACAATCAGCTGAAATGAATTCTTTACAGCAGGGGTCACCAACATGGTGCCCACCAAGGGGCCCTCAAGGACCACAAAGGGTGCCCTTAGAGTCTTCTGAAAATAGAACAACTCAACAGTGAGCTTC